CATGGAGTACCAAAATGCACGACAGAAGTCATCAATCATACGGGTTGCAGTGCATCTGCCTGTACAATAGAACATTATTGTCCAGGAAGGAAAATGAGGACAAGAGTTTTTTAATGAGCGCCTTCAAACTGACCATCTTTGTATCTCAAGGGTACACTTCTTTCCTTCATCTTTGACCACTCTCTTCCTATAGCATCTAAAATAGACCACGCGTGCAAACAAACATGCCCAAGAACATATATACAGTATTTACTATCAAAGTATTCTTAAGCAACTCTCTTGCCACGCAAGAAAAAACCTATCTTAAATGGAACATTACTCAGTCGTCCGATTGCTCTTTTTTCCATTTATCCAGAAAACGTTACTTCACATTGTTGCTGGCTGCAAAACATTACCTCGAAGAAGGCCGTACAACATGGCGGCCATAACTCTGCATTGAAATTCGCTAGCCACAATCATTTAAAAGCTTTACCCTAATTGCCTCTCTTTACGCAGACCTTTCAGGTTATCTCTCACCCTCTATCATAACTAGGAGACTCTTTCCGTCCTCTATCTACTTCTAGTCACTCTGACCATCGACTAATTTATAATCGAGCTTACAGTAGGATACGAAACTAACTTGGAGTTTAATGTAACCGCCAAAAGAGAGAAATACTCGAATCTCATTCACAGCCTAAGCTCAGCCTATTCTTCTATCATGTTTGTTAATCTTTCTATCAGTTTCCTAGGTATCTTTGGTCTCTCTTGCCCTCCTCTTTCATCCAACATGATGCAACGCTCTAGTTATATCAGCGAGAATCATCTCCGCTTCATGATTCTCCAACTTTCCAACTAACCTATCCATACTACCTATTACATTTTCTGCCCCAGAAATAAATCTTGGAATTAATCTTTGAACTTCTTCAATTCTAACTATCCTGCTACTGACGACTTTCTAAAACAAACATGACGAAACACCTTTTTTCCTTTTTTTTTTTATAATTTCTCTGTTTGTGCTTGTAATAGTCTTTTTCTCCTTTTAAACCCAGGCTAGCCAATTGCAATATGTACCTGTGTAATAGTTGATGATTTTGTAATTGTAGATTTAAAGATTGAATTGAAAATGAAATGTTTTCCATTATTATTTGTTCATGGTTAGGTATCTTTTTGTTTCCCAATAAATAGTTTGATTGTTTACTGGATAGACTGAACTATGTATATGTATGGCGTAAATTTATTTAGGCTTTCTTAAGTATGTAAATTTTTACAATGAATAAGATGGCATCAGATAGCATTAGCGCGAAAAATAGCTTTGTATTTCTTTAGGATCCTTGAAAAGCCAAAAATTTCTTATAAACGATAACTAGCAAAAATTTCACTCGCCCCAGCCCTGGACAATACAAGAAAATTTACCGATTCTCAACCCTCCGATTTTTTACACCAAAACAGAAGCTCTGCTAGTTTTTACCTAAATTCTTGGCACAAAGTAATATTTAAAGGACCAAGTGACCACGGCTTTTGGCAACCAAATTTTTTTTTTAATTTTAACTATAGTAAAATGCTTGTATGAGAGTGTTTGTTGAGATATTTTTCTTTCTGGATTTCATTTTCCTACTTAAAAAACCCTTTTCAAATTATGGCAGGAAATGGAATCACGTGACACCGTGACGTAGATTGCTGATAATTTGTTATTCTTGCTACTGGTATACAGTGCAATATTAAACGTTTACAACAGGGCTTCTAAACGAATTCAGTTCCTCCTGGGACCCTGTCGTGTTGTGTTTCGTAAACTCCTCTAATCAATGACAGGGAAAATTCCGTTTAGTTATCACAATGTACGTCATAGGTGTCACGTGATACAAAACAACAATGGCAGCCCCCTGCGCCCCCATGATTAAATCTTTTGTTCTAAATCAGGAAAAACTTACTTCTAAATGATGGATCTATAAGCTAATGAAAAGATAGGGTTGAAAAGTGTGGTCACTATGTGTCTTTAAATCACCAAAGTATGGAAAAAAATACTTAACTTACAAAGATTTATTTTGCTTTTGGGGTCTTCCACGTTTATAGATGACCGAAAAGTACAAACATCCTAAAATTTGGAAGTTTCCCTTTGAATCAGGAATATTCTTTTGCCACGTAGGCCCAGAACGTTCCAGAAAATAGTTTTGAATAATCCTCTTCAGTTATGCCTACTCAGTCTAATTACCTCTATTTAGAATATAGGAAATGGTATGCTTGCTGAAATACAGAATGCCACAAGTGACATACCCCTTTTTGATCAGCTGACGTGAGTAAATGATCCATTAAAGGCGCGTTCTCCCTCATGATGCGAAAAATAAGTTTGGAATAGGAAGTTAGATTTAGCAGACTAGGGCCATTTAGAGCCTCTAGCGCTTTAAAATTGAAGAAACGAGTCCCATTATTAAAAATATTCAAGAAATTAGAAACTAATTTAAAGAGGCAGTTTATGCTAAGGTTCTTGAAAGACTCTTACAGTATCTCTGATCCAAAGGGAATCAATTTTAAAGACTTGCCAGGCGAATTGATGTTAAATCTTGAGTCCATTTTCAAATCTTGCATGATATATTATAAATAAGAAAGCCTTCTTGCATACAGGATGCGACCAGTACAAGATCAAAAAGAACGGCATATCGATCTTATCAAGGATTTGGTACCTGAAAGTTTTTCATTTAACTTTGGCGCCATATAAATTGTTCTCAAGGCAAAAGTCACAACTTCACACAAATGATATGATGGGGATCCAAGGGAGAAATGGGTTTCTTTGCACAAAAGGAGGGTAATTTCCCTTGTGGCTCACTGTACATGTACAGCTGGGTTTGAGAGTGTTGTAACCACATTGCAGCCGTTATGTATGAAAGTGGATTCATCTAATCTGAAAACAAACATGTTAGATTGATCCAGCCTGTAACACCTGAAGGTGTGTTTGTAATTCGTTTTTTAAAGACAATCAGGCTGACAAGATCTCGAAAAGTCCACCAGATCACAAGATGGTTCGAAAATTTGGTGACAAAGATCTGGATGTTCACTGCAACTAAAATTCGGAACTTTTTTACAAAAGATAAAATGCAGATTTCTAGATCGAAAGCAACAAGCACCCAAAATTCATGCCATTTATTGCAAAGTTGTGAAGGACAATGACATTGGGATGCTTAGCCAGCCATTTAAAAATGGGGACAAAAGCACGAGGAAGATGCCACAAAAAAAGCCTTTTTCCTGTGCTGTTGTATCGAAGAATAAACATGGGAAGCTCACTGGATTTTGGCCTAATAACTAACTGCTCATTTCCTTTAATTCGGGCCCTACTCCAGATAATTATTTTTGTGCCAATGCTGCGAGGGTCCTATGCCACAGTAGAGTACTAAATGCCTGTTTAAGTTGCGGAAAGAAAAGTGTAGAAGAAGGAGCAGACGGATTGTTACTTTTTATACATTGATGAATACAAAAAAATTTGCCCCTAAAAGAGGAACATAAATATTATTTCACAAGTTACGACACTAATGGCTTTAACTGGAGGGAAAAGGTGCTAGTTTTGTCTTGTGTTAGTCCGAGAAGGGAAACCACTATTTGACAACAAGTCAAATTGAAGAGAAAAACACTGGTCAGACCTGGAAAGAAATGCTTTTCTTTTTTTCAACGGGTATGTGGTTCCAGTGCTTCTGGACAGAAAGCAGATTTATTTAGCTGCGCCGAATGGAGAGGAGAAACCAGTGTTGGTGAAAGAAGAGACACTGGACAAATCAGAAAAAAGTATTAAGTGCAACTGAGTGTTCCTTTGCGTACCATTTGGTATTGTGTGGAATACAAGAGACAGGAGCGATATTGCAAGATTGTAGAGGTGCCCTGTTATCAGTCCAGTTTTGCCACGTATGAAAACGACTATTATAGAACGACAGTGACAAATCATCAACTGAACGTATACCACTCGCACTTGATTACATATAAGTATAAAGTCTTTGCCACTAGTCCTGCCCATGATCGAAGAATGTCTCGAACAATCGTCCTATGTGAAACTTTTTATTGCAATATTTGTGAAATCCTGTTACTCCTCGATGGTCCGGGCTTAAGCCTTGCCCTCTTGGCATAACCTATACCTGACATCGAGAACACAACCACAGTCAGAGAGCTCCATGACGATAACAATTCCCATGAAATGGTTCCCTTACCTCTCCATTGTTAGAAACCCCAACATATACTTTTTTTAAAAAAAATTAATAAAACAAGATTATCAAACCCCCTCTGCTATAGTATTTTAAAGTTTAGAGAGCACTTAGGACTAGCCTTTTAGTATCTTCAGTTTCAATTTTCTCCACAATTCTCATACTACAATAATTGTTCCTTATATTCAAATTAAATTAATGTTTTATCATACTCAATGTCAGCCATATTGTTTTCAGTAGTAAACTTTCACACTATCTTTTATTTGGTTGCATTGGGTGATTTTGTAATTCTTAGCCTTGAGATATGCCACGTCGCCGTCGGCTAAACTTTAATCGGCAAAGAGCAAGAGAAAGGCAAAGACAATATTATCAGAACCGTCATAACAACAATGGACCACCAAATGCAGGTGAACAACAATTTGCTGTTGCAGTAAATGAATTAGCTGCATTGGAGCTTCAAATTGCACAAAATGAGCTTCCAGATCAACAGGGCAATAATGAAGCTGAAATTGACCAACAGCCCCCACAACAGTTTCATAATATTCAACCTAACCAACCTGCTGAGCAGTTGAATGCCAATCAGCACCCACAGCCATTTTTCAACCTACCACAGCCACATTACATTGGCATCATGGAAAATGCATGTCATCATTGTCATGGCAAATTTTTCAAGGGTGAGCAGAACCCAAATAATGTTTTTGCCAAATGTTGCTTTCAAGGTAAAGTCACTCTACCACCAGTTACACTACCTTCAGCAAATATTATTGACTTATTCAGTGCAGAAACACCACAATCACGGCTTTTTTGGAAAAAATTCGTCATTACAATGCTGCTTTGGCAATGGCTTCCTGGAATGCCACAGTCAATGAACTTCCTGGTAGAGGACCCCGTGTTGTCACTATTCATGGGCAAACATACCACGTGACAAGTGCAGCAGATGCACCTGAAGGTCAACTTCCACAATATTCACAGTTATATATACTGGATACAAATCAAGCATTGCAGGAAAGGATTCATGATCCAAGAAATGCAAACCTGCAACCTGAAGTCCTGCAGCTGCTACAGGATGAACTTATGGCCGTAAATCCATTTGCAAGACAGTTCCAAAATATGGGACAAATTCTTAAAAGAGAACGCAACAATGCAGCTGCAAACAATCAACCATTGCCAGAAGTTCGGAAGATCATAGCACAGCGACCATTTCAAGATCGACGTTATGATAATCCTATAGCCACAGAAATAGCTGCAGTTTATGTTGGAGATGAAGGGGCACCTCCTGATCCTGCCAACAGAGACATAGTTATATACCATACTGCCAAACACAATACAACAAAAATAAAGGCAACATCTCCAAATGCAGACCCAATGACATATTCACTGTTGTTTTTCCAAAGAGAATTGGGGTGGATTATTGAACTTGGACGCAATCAGCAGCTACCAGCAGCGCATCGTCCTTATCAAAGGGAGCGTATCTCTTTAAACAAGTTTTATGCTTACAGGATTGCATGTCGAGATGGCTTTTCAACCATTCACCGTGCAAAGTTGCTTTTTCAACAATATTTGGTTGATGCCTACACAAAAATTGAAGGGAATGAACTGACATACATCAGAACCCATCAAGCACAACCGAGGGTAGAATCATATCAAGGTCTTGTAGACCACATACACAGACGAGCAGAAGCTGAAGATGCAAATGTTGGCCGCATTGTCATTCTGCCCTCAACCTTTCAAGGAAGTCCAAGAAACATGCAGCAAAACTATCAAGATGCAATGACCATTGTCACAAAATTTGGTAAACCTGACATCTTCTTAACCATGACTGCAAATCCAAATTGGCCTGAGGTGAGAGAAAATCTTCTTCCACACCAGACAGCTAATGACAGGCCAGATGTTATCAGTCGTGTCTTCCACCTAAAACTCAAGGAACTTTTGTGTGACCTTCTTGAAAGAAATGTCTTAGGACATGTGGTTGCCTATGTTTACACAATTGAGTTGCAGAAAAGAGGTTTGCCGCATGCACACATGGTTGTTTTTCTCAGATGGTGATAAACCACGTGTGGCAGAAGAGGCTGACAGGTTAGTATCAGCCGAGATCCCAGATCCACGACAATTTCCAAATTTGCATGAAATGGTCAAGAAACACATGATCCATGGACCATGTGGTGACCTTGATCCACACTGTGTTTGCATGCAAAATGGTGAGTGTAAGAAGAACTTTCCAAAACAACTCTCACAGGTGAATGGATACCCAGAGTACCAACGACGAGGACAACATCATACGCAGCTACGTCGTCACTTGGTTAATGACTCTTGGGTGGTTCCTTACAATTCTCACCTTCTCATGAAATTCAACTGCCATATGAATGTAGAAATTTGCAGCACTGTGAAAAGTGTCAAATACATCTTCAAATACATTCACAAAGGCAACAATTGTGCACATGTTAAAATAAAAGAAAACACTTTACACCATGATGAGATTCTCCAGTATCTTAATGCAAGATATGTTGGCCCACACCAGGCAATGTTCAGGATCATGGAGTACAAAATGCACGACAGAAGTCATGTCATCATACGGGTTGCAGTGCATCTTCCTGTACAATAGAACATTTATTTCCAGGAAGGAAATGAGGAAGAGTTCTTAATGAGCGCCTTCAAAACCATCTTGTATCTCAAGGTACCATTCTTTCCTTCATCTTTGACCACTCTCTTCCTATAGCATCTAAAATATGGACCACGGTTCAAAGCAACATGCCCAAGAACATTTACAGTTTTACTATCAAATATCTTAGCAACTCTCTTGCCACGCGAAAAAACCTATCTAAATGGAACATTACTCAGTCGTCCGATTGCTCTTTTTGCCATATGCCAGAAACGTTACTTCACATTGTTGCAGGCTGCAAAACATACCTCGAAGAAGGCCGTTACACATGGCGCCATAACTCTGCATTGAACTTCCTAGCACAATCTTTAAAAGCTTTACCTAATTGCTCTCTTTACGCAGACCTTTCAGGTTATCTCTCACCCTCTATCATAACAGGAGACTCTTTCCGTCCTGATCTACTTCTAGTCACTTCTGACCATCGACTAATTCATAATCGAGCTTACAGTAGGATACGAAACTAACTTGGATGTTAATGCTAACCGCAAAAGAGAGAAATACTCGAATCTCATTCACAGCCTAAGCTCAGCCTATTCTTCTATCATGTTTGTTAATCTTTCTATCAGTTTCCTAGGTATCTTTGGTCTCTCTTGCTCCTCTTTCATCAACATGTGCAACGCTCTAGATATCAGCGAGAATCATCTCCGCTTCATGATCTCCAAACTTTCCAACTTAACTATCCATACTACCTATTACATTTTCTGCCCCAGAAATAAATCTTGGAATAATCCTGAACTTCTTCAATTCTAACTATCTCTGCTACTGACGACTTCTAAAACAAACAATGACGAACACACTTTTTCCTTTTTTTTTATTAATTTCTCTTGTTTGTGCTTGTAATAGTCTTTTTCCTTGTAAACCCAGGCTAGCCAATTGCAAATTACCTTGTAATAGTGAGATTTGTAATTGTAGTTTAAGTTGAATTGAAAATGAAATGTTTCCATTATTATTATTGTATGGTTAGGTATCTTTTGGTTTTCCCAATAAATATGTTGATTGTTACTGGTAGATCTGTATGTATATGTATGGCTGTAAATTTATAGGCTTTTAAGTATGTAAATTTTTACATGAATAAGATGGCATCAGATAGCATTAGCGAAAAATAGCTTTGTATTTCTTTGGGATCCTTGAAAAGCCAAAATTTCTATAAACGATAACTAGCAAAAATTTCACTCGCCCCAAGCCCCTGGACAATACAAAAATTTACCAATTCTCAACCCTCCGATTTTACACCAAAACAAAGCTTGCTAGTTTTTACCTAAATTCTTTGGCAAAGTAATATTTAAAGGACAAGTGACACGCTTTTGGCACCAAATTTTTTTTTAATTTTAACTTATAGTAAAATGCTGTATGAGAGTGTTGTTGAGATATTTTTCCTTTCTGATTTCATTTTCCTACTTAAAAACCCTTTTCAAATTATGGCAGGAAATGAATCACGTGACACCGTGACGTAGATTGTGATAATTTGTTATTGCTGCTACTGGTATACAGTGCAATATTAACGTTTACAACAGGCTTCTAAACGAATTCAGTTCCTCTGGACCTGTCGTGTTGTGTTTCGTAAACTCTCTATCAATGACAGGAAAATTCCGAGTTATCACAATGTACGTCATAGGGTCACGTGATACAAAACAAAATGGCGCCCCCTGCGCCCCATGATTAGAATCTTTTGTTCTAAACCAGGAAAAACTTACTTCTAAATGATGATCTATAAGCTAATGAAAAGATAGGGTGAAAAGTGTGTCACTTGTCCTTTAATCACCAAAGTATGTAAAAAATACTTACTTACAAAGATTTATTTTGCTTTTGGGTCTTCCACGTTATAATTGACGAAGAGGTACAAACATCCTAAATTTGTGGTGTTCCCTTTGATCAGGAATATTCTTTTGCCACGTAGGCCCAGAACGTCCAGAAAATGTTTGAATTAATCCTCTTCAGTTTGCCTCTCAGTCAATATACCTCTATTAGAAATAGGAATCAGATTGGCTGAAATACAGAATGCCAAAGACATCCCCTTTTTGATCAGCTGACGTGAGTAAATGTATCATTAAAGGCGCGTTCTCCTCATGATGCGAATAAGTTGGAAATAAGTTAGATTTAGCAGCTAGGGCATTTAGAGCCTCTAGCGCATTTAAAATGAAAAGAGCCCATTATTAAAAATATTCAAGAATTAGAAGCTAATTTAAAGAGCAGTTATGCTAAGGTTCTGAAAGATTACAGTATCTCTGATCCAAAGGGAATCAATTTAAAGAATTGCAGGAATGATGTTTAAACGTGGTCCATGTTTCAAATCTTTGCATATATTATAAATAAGAAAGCCTTTGATACAGAGTATGTCGACCAGTACAAGATCAAGAAGGCATATTCGCATCTTATCAATGGATTTGTACCTGAAAGTTTTTCATTTAACTTTGGCGCATATAAATTGTTCTCAAGGCAAAAGTCACAACTTCACAAAAAGTGAGAGGGGATCCAAGGGAGAAATGGGTTCTTTGCACAAAAGGAGGTAATTTCCTTGTGGCTCACTGTACATGTACAGCTGGGTTTGGAGAGTGTTGTAACCACATTGCAGCCGTTATGTACAAAGTGGAGTTTGCAAAAACAAACATGTTGATTGATCCAGCCTGTACACCTGAAGCTTGTGTTTGTTAATCGTTTTTAAAGACAATCAGCTGACAGATCTCGAAAAGGTCACCAGATCACAAGATGGTTCGAAAATTTGGTGACAAAGATCTGGATGTATCACTGCAACTAAAATTCGTGACTTTTTTACAAAAGTAAATGCGATTTCTAGATCGAAGGCAAAATCACCCAAAATCATGCCATTACTTGCAAAGTTGTTGAAGGACAATGACATTGGGATGTTGCCAGCCATAAAATGGGGACAAAAGCACGAGCAAGATGCCAAAAAAACCTTTTTCTGTGCTGTTGTATCGAAGAAATAAACATGGGAAGCTACTGGATTTTGGCCTAATAACCAACTGCTCATTTCCTTTAATTCGGGCTACTCCAGATAATTTATTTTTGTGCCAATGCTGCGAGGGTCCTGTGCCAGTAGAGTACAAATGCCTGTTTAAGTTGCGGGAGAAGAGTGTAGAAGAAGGAGCAGACGGATTGTACTTTTTATACATTGATGAATACAAAAAATTGCACCTAAAAGAGGAACATAAATATTATTCACAAGTTACGACACTAATGGCTTTAACTGGAGGGAAAAGGTGCTATTTTGTCGTGTTTAGTCCGAGAAGGGAACCACTTATCGAACAAGTCAAATTTGAAGAAAAACACTGGTCAGACCTGGAAAGAAATGCTTTTCTTTTTTTCAACGGGTATGTGGTTCCAGTGCTTCTGGACAGAAAGCAGATTTATTACTGCCCCGAAAGGGAGAGGAGAAACCACGCTTGGAGAAAGAAGAGACACTGGACAAATCAGAAAACAGTATTAAGTGCACTGAGTGTTCCTTTGGTACCATTTGGTTTGTGTTGGAATTACAAGAGACAGGGAGCGATATTGGATTTGTGAGAGGTGCCTGTTATCGTCAGTTTTGCCGTATGAAAACGTATCTATTATAGACGACAGTGACAAATCACAATGAACTATACCATGACTTGATTTATATAATATGCCACTTTGTTCCTGCCCTGATTTGAAAATGTTTGCATATCCTTGTAAACTTTTTTTGCAATATTTGTCAAGTATCCTTCATGGTCCTTGGATGCCTTGCCCTCTGCATACTTCTGGACCATCAGAACCCACAGTCAGAGAGCTCATTGACGATAACAATTCCCTTATTTCAAAACTGCACACAAAGCTCTAGGAGATAAAATCTTTGATTTACAAAGAAGCACCAGCTGTGAAGGGCATTCATCTTCGACAAGTTACACCAAAGAAGAAACCTATAAAGAAAATGAAAAGTTTAATTAAAGGAAACAAAGAGGCTAAAGAAAGACTTGCCACATCACCATAGAGAAGTCTGAAGCTTTTTTAAGGAGGATGTAGTAGAGAATATTCTAAGCGACAATCAAGAACAACTAGGTTCTACAATTTTTGTAACATTAGTTGACAGAGATCCAGCAAGAGACAATTGAACAGATTTTGATAAAAAAAATACAAAACTTTTTGTCAGAAGGCAGCAACTGAACAGACATGACTTTAAGAAGATTTCAGAGAATAAAATGCTTAATGACTTCCAAAGTCTATCGTAAATAATCAATGTATTCCAAAGTCTGATGCTGAAGGAACACCCCAAGTCAAATGGTTTACAAGACCATGTCAAATGGTTTACAGGCAAAACATGTTTTTACTGTACACCGCGACAAATCTTTTGTTAAAATCCTCCATGATGGAAAACTACATTGGATTGCTGTTTCAACATATGGGTGTGAGC